CACACACACACCACACACATAGACACACACACCACACACACAAACCTCACACACCACACACACACACACCACACACACACACACACACAAACCTCACACACCACACACACACCACACACATATAGACACACACACCACACACACAAACCTCACACACCACACACACACACACCACACACACACACACACACAAACCTCACACACCACACACACACCACACACATATAGACACACACACCACACACACAAACCTCACACACCACACACACACCGCGCACACACACACACACACACAAACCTCACACACCACACACACCACACACACACACACACCACACACACACACCACACACCACACACACCACACACACACACTGTACACACACACACACACACACACAAACCTCACACCACACACACACACTGCACACACCTCACACACACACCACACACCGCATCCACACACACACACACACACACCATACACAACCACTCACACACAGACCTCACACACCACACACACCACACACCGCATACACACACACACAACCACACACACAACCACACACACTAACACACTAACACACACACAACCCCATACACCACACACACCACACACAACCTAACACACTAACACACACTAACGCACTAACACACACTAACACACACAACCACATACACCACACACGCGCAACCACACACACTAACACACACACACAACCACACACACACAAACCTCACACACATACAACACACACACAAATCTCACACACATACAACACACACAACCATATACACAAACCTCACACGCACAACCACACACACACACACACAGCCATGTGGACACAATAGGAGCTGAAGGCCTGGGTGGGGTGCGGGGGGTCGATGGGGGACAAAGTGAAGAGTTAAAACGATTTGGGGAAATAGTCTGCTCTCGCTGGGCCGGCCCAGGAAGCCGCCCCTCGGTCCCCGGGGCCTCACTGCCCCTCGCCCCCTCGCCCGCCTATTTAACGTGTGTTCGATGGATCTGAGAGGGAGGCAGAGGGAGAGGCATGGCCCCGGGGAACGAGCCCAGCCCCCTCCCGCGCCCCTCCCGCGCCCGGACCCTGACCGGGTGCCCGGGGCCCTGCTCAGCCCGCCTGGGGCTCACCCCGCTTCCCGGAGTGCTGGGAGCCGGCTCTCGGGCCAGCAGTCCCGCTTCCCCTGGCGTCTGGCGACACGGCCAGGAGGCTGCCTTCCCACAGGCCGCAGACCAGCCGGCCCAGGCCGTGCCCAGAGGGCCCCCCAATGGTCTCTGTCAGTGACCGATGGCCCGCGGCCCGAGCCCAGGCCGGGAGCTCGCTCCCTGGCTGCTCCCGCCCCCCGCAGGCTGGGTGCCCCCAGAGCCCGCGATGCCTCGGGGTGTGAGCGGGGCGGGGGGGGGGTGGCACCCAGGGCCCCGATCACAGGCGGTGGCAGCCGAGGCTGAGGCCCGGACACGTCAGCCTGCCAGGCCTGGGCAGGTCCTGGGGGAGGGAGAGGTGACTCCGGTGAGCGGGGTGCTGGGTGTGGGCTGGCGCCTACGGGCGGAGGCCGGGTGCTGCGGGACCCTCTCCTCCGGGCCTGCGCTGGGGGTGGCTGCCCCGGGGAGCAGGCGGGAAGCGGCCTCGTGGGGAGCCTCGCTGCCAGCCGGAAGGACGTGAGCAGCCATCTAAAACCCGCGCCGAGCGCAGACGGAGAAGCGGCCGCTGGGCGGGCAGGGCCTGTGCGGGCGCTGCCTCGTCTCCGGCCCGAGGAGCACTGTCATTTCACCGCCCTCTTTCGCCGTTCGATGCACCGTGGTCCCGTTGGCGGGTTCCCCCAGGCAGCCCGCTCCCCGTGGCCCGGCAGGCTGTGTGCCCGTCAGGCTCTTTCTCAGACTGCAGCCTGGGCGCCGTCCGAGGCCGATGGCGCCGTCCGAGGCCGAGGGCGCCGTCCGTGGCCGATGCCGCCGTCCGAGGCCGATGGCGCCGTCCGAGGCCGATGGCGCCGTCCGAGGCCGAGGGCGCAGTCCGAGGCCGATGGCGCCGACCGAGGCCGATGGCGCCGTCCGAGGCCGATGGCGCCGTCCGAGGCCGATGGCGCCATCCGAGGCCGATGGCGCCGACCGAGGCCGATGGCGCCGTCCGAGGCCGATGGCGCCGTCCGAGGCCGATGCCGCCGTCCGAGGCCGATGGCGCCGACCGAGGCCGAGGGCGCCGTCCGAGGCCGATGCCGGTCCGAGGCCGATGGCGCCGTCCGAGGCCGATGCCGGTCCGAGGCCGATGCCGGTCCGAGGCCGATGGCGCCGTCCGAGGCCGATGGCGCCGACCGAGGCCGATGGCGCCGACCGTGGCCGATGGCGCCGCCCGAGGCCGATGGCGCCGTCCGAGGCCGATGCCGGTCCGAGGCCGATGGCGCCGACCGTGGCCGATGGCGCCGTCCGAGGCCGATGGCGCCGACCGTGGCCGATGCCCTCACTGCGGTGGGACGTGCTTGCCCGGCCCCCCTCCCCCCGCCGCCTCCTGTGTCCGCCGTGGGGAGTCTGCAGCCTCTGCAGCGTTCTGAGGCGGCAGCCTCTTCTCACCTCCGGCCCCACATCCTCTCATCCTCTCACCTCGGGCTCATTTCACCAAATTCTTACTGTCATCAAGCTGGTGGGAGGCGATCGCAGACACTTCCTTCTGAACGAGCGCGCGCGCCACTTTCTCTCCGCCGGCCTCCCTGCGGGCGGGCCCGTGCCGCCCCCCCGCCCCGCGTCTCCGCCGCCTCCCTCCTCGGACCCGCCATCACCTGCTCCTGCCAGGCAGCCGGGCAGCGGCGTGGAATCTCGCCTCTTCACAACGGTGCCCGAGCCAGTTTGTTCTGTAAAGGCTTTACTTGTGCTTTTAAAACATATTTTTATTGATTTCAGAGCCGAAGAAACATCCATGGTGAGAGAGAATCCTGGACCGGCTGCCTCCCGCACGCCCACACAGGATCCAGCCCACAGCCCGGCCGGTGCCCTGACCGGGAATGGAACCCTGACCTCCTGGTTCGAAGGTCGATGCCCAGCCCCGGAGCCACAGCAGCTGGCCGGCCGGGCTGTCTGTAAAGATTTGGCTCAGAGGGTGGTGCTGGGGTGGGGACAAGGGGGTGCACCTCGGCGGGAACGCCTGGACCACCCGGGACGGTTCTGTGGAGTGTCCTGCGGGCAGGCTCCCAGCTCCTGGCTCCCGGCTCCTGGCTCCCGGGAGGCAGTGGCCAGGCCACCACCAGCAGCAGGAGGGCCTCCTGGGTCCGGCCGGCTTTCCCTGCTCGCCCTGGGACCCGCCACCACCCTGGCCTCCGAGCCCTGGGACCCGCCACCACCCTGGCCTCCGAGCCCTGGGACCCGCCACCACCCTGGCCTCTGAGCCCTGGGACCCGCCACCACCCTGGCCTCTGAGCCCTGGGACCCGCCACCACCCTGGCCTCTGAGCAGCAGGAGGGCCGGCCGCTCTGTCGGAGAGGAGAGAGCAGGCGGCACAGGCCCTCCTTCCTCCCCATCCATCGTGCGGACTCCCCGTCTAATTTCGGTGGCTGTGCACCCGCACAGGTTACATATGTTTTCAAACTCAGAACCAAAGCAGCCACGGCAACGCTTGGGAGCACCTCTCCCACGGACACGGACACGGGGGAGCCGGCTGGCGGGACACGGGGCGGGACACGGGGCGGGGGCGGGCGTTCTCCGGCCCCCCAGCTGGGCTCCCTCTTCCTCTCTGTCTGCTCCTCCGGGTCCCACCCCGGACCTGGGCCCCCCGTGCCCGCCCACCGTGAGCCTGCTCTCCCGGCGCGGAGGGACCCGCCCGTCCTCAGAGCAGCGGAGGCCGGGGCGGGCGGGCTGCCTCCTGCAGGAGCCCCGGCCAGGGAGGACCCTGCAACCGAGGCACGTGCCCTTGACCCGAATCGAACCCGGGACCTTTGACCCGCAGGCCGACGCTCTGTCCACAGAGCCACACCGCTGGGGCTCAGCGGCATTCAGACTTGGTGGGACAGAATGACCGAGAGCCCAAGAACACCCCCCCACCCCTCCCCCACGTGGCTCGCGGCAGGTGGGGAGGGGCCGGTTTAAGGAAAGCTTCGCTCCTAAGACAGAGCCTCGGGGACGACGGCACTTCTAGTTCCCTCTCTCTCTCTCTCTCTCTCTCTCTCTCTCTTTCTTTTTAAAGACAAAGTACCATTTGTCAACTCACAGGGGCCAAACCCCGGCCGGCTTTCTTTCACTTTCAAAATAAATCCAGGAGAAAGAGGAAAGGCAGAGAAGAATCATGTGAACCTCAGCACTGACCAGTTCAAGTCCCGTCCGGACACGTGTCTGCCCGGCCCCCTAGGGGGGCCGTCTGCAGGTCGCCGCTGCCCTGAGGCAGGTGTGCGGCCAGCGTGCGGCCAGGGTGGCCAGTGACACCCAGCGGGAGAGGGGGCATGGGGGTGACTCCAGGCCCCCAGCCTGCCTCTGCCCCCACCCCCACCCCCGCCCCAGGTCCGACCCGGGCACTCCTGAGCCTCTGGGAAGACAAGCCAGGAGGCGGGGGCCGGCGCTGCCCGGAGGAGGCGGAGCTGGCCGCTGCCCGGAGCCCGGACAGGGAGGACAGAGGGCTGAGGCTCCGTAACGGTCCTGTCTCTGGGGTGGAAACCGGCTCCATTCGCCCGGACCCTGCAGGGGTCCCCCTCCCTCTCCCTCCAGCGCCCCAGCTCGGGGTGAGCTCGGGGCCACGGCTGCTCCTCCGCCCGCCCTCCGCCCTCCGCCCTCCGCCCTCCGCCCTCCGGCCCCGGCGCCCGAGCCCAGCGGGGTGGGGGTCTCAGCGTCCTCGGGGAGGGAGGTGCGGGCCCAGGGGGACAGAGGGAGGCCAGCCCGGCGGCGGGGGAGGCTCCCGCGGGTTCCGGGAAGCGGCGGCGCACACAGGCGGCGGCCCCCCTCCCTCTCCCGCCCCGGCCCCCCTCCCTCTCCCGCCCCGGCCCCCGCCCGGCCCCCGGCCCGGTACCTTGGCAGCTGGGGCCACTCTCCCTGCAGCCGCTCTGCGCTCCCGGCCGCACTCGGCTCCGGCTCCGTCCTCCGGCGGCCGGGAAGTCCGGGCAGGGCCGCCTCCCGGCGGGCTGGGGCGGGGACACGGCACTGATGTCATCGCGGACAGCTCCCGCCCCGCGCACCGGGCCCAGCAGCCCGCCAGCAGGCCCAGCCACGGCCCAACAGGCCCCCCGAACCCGGCTCAGGCCCCCCAGGCCCCCCCGAACCCGGGCTCAGGGCCCCCAGACCCCCCCGAACCCGGGCTCAGGGCCCCCAGGCCCCCCCGAACCCGGGCTCAGGGCCCCCAGACCCCCCCGAACCCGGGCTCAGGGCCCCCAGGCCTCCCCGAACCCGGGCTCAGGGCCCCCAGACCCCCCCGAACCCGGGCTCAGGCCCCCCCGAACCTGGGCTCAGGCCCCACCAGGCCTCCCCGAATCGGGGCTCAGAGCCCCCCAGCCTCCCCAGAATCGGGGCTCAGGGCCCCCCAGGCTCCCCCGAATCGGGGCTCAGGCCCCCCCGAACCCGGGCTCAGGGCCCCCCAGACCCCCCGAACCTGGGCTCAGGGCCCACCAGGCCTCCCCGAACCCAGGCTCAGGGCCCCCCAGGCTCCCCCGAACCCAGGCTCAGGGCCCACTAGGCCTCCTCGAACCCCGGCTCAGAGCGTGCCGGCCTGGACCTCCCCTGTGGGATCTGATGCACAAACAAACCCACAATCAGCACAGACACAGACTGGGGTGCGAGAACGGACTGGCAGCGGTCCAGTCTGTCTGAGGGCGGCGCTCGGATGGAGAGCTCTGATGGGGTGACCTTCCCACCCAGCACCCCCCCCTCCCGCCCCCGGCTCCCGCCCAGCACCCGTCCGGCTCCCGGCTCTCCCAAGCGGCAGGGAGCGGGCGTTGCTGGGCGCTGGGCGGACTGGGGCTGGGTGGTCTGGGCCGGAGCCTCTCCAGCGAGTTTACTCCCAGGCCCAGCATTCGCTCCCTCGGCAGGCCCTGCTGAGGTCAGCGGGCTGTGCACGCGAGAAGCTGGGACACCCCCCCCCCCCCCCCCCGTGTGTCTGAGGGCGGTGGGGGCCGGTCCTCCCAGGGCCTCCGACCAGAACCCTGCCTGACCGCAGCGGCAGCTGCAGAGAGAGGAAGTGCTGCCGCCCTCCTCCCTGCGGCCCCGCACCACGAGGCAGCGGCCTGGCTCCCGGCCCCGCGCCGCCATCGAGGCAGCGGCCTGGCTCCCGGCCCCGCGCGGGCCACACCGCCCGCCCAGGGCACCTCCCCCGGTTTCCAGAATCACCATCTCCCGCCCCCTCCGCTCTCTCCAGGCCAGCGGCACCCTCCCCTCCACCCACGGAGCCCTCCCCGGGCGAAAGTCGGGGCCTCCAGACCTACAGACCAGGGCACCCCCGCTCGCTCGAGAAGGGGGGAAGCAGGAAGTGCAGGGAAGGAAAGAGGAAGTGAGGAGATTAGAATCAGCCTTGTCACCTAGAACGTGCTGCTGGCCCGGCCGGGGGCTCAGGGCTGAGCGTGGACCTAGGACCAGAGGCCACGGTTCCATTCCCGGTCAGGGCACAGGCCCGGGTTTCAGGCTCCGTCCTCAGGAGGGGGCGTGAGGAGGCAGCCGATCGATGATTCTCTCTCCCTCTCTCTCCCCCCCCTTCCTCTCTGAAATCCATCACAGCACATTTAGGACATGCCGGTGGCCGGTGGATGAGAAGGGGTCCTGTGAGAGGTTTGATCCCAAACCCCCAGGCAGGTCCGCACGGGCAGGCCCAGCGGGCAGTCACGCCAGGCCGGCAGCTGCTTTGGTGACAGGCCACTCCGGGCCTCGGGCCCGCGCTGTCCGCTGTCCGCTGTGTCTGTGCGTCTGGGCGCAGCCTTTGAAATGGCCCTCCAGGTCCTCCCACAGAGCCCTCACCGCCTGCGGGCCGCCTGGTCCCCCGCCTGCCGTCCCTCCCTGCCCTGCCCGGGCCCTGCCGCCTCCGTCCCTCCCTCCGCACCCAGCAAACCGTCTCCCAGCCGGCTCTCCAGCCCGGCCCGGGAGAGCCAGAGCAGCTGAGGACGGCCGCCTGGAGGTTTGGCAAAGGGGGTGTCAGAGACGGACACCCCGCAGGCCGCACGTGCGGCTTCAGGGGGGCCAGGCCCCCGCTGGGCCGTCTGAGCGGGCGTCGGAGGGAGGCCCTGTCTGCCCCAGCCTCGCAGCCCACAGGCCCCGCCCCCGTTTGGAAGGATTGCCGCAGCGGCTTGTGAGACATTGACCGGAGACTGTCCCACCCCTGGGCCCGAGCCGGCCCCCTCCGGCCCCGCCCTCGGGCTGCTCCCACGGCAGCGGACACACAAACAGCCCCACACACAGGTGACCCTGGGCCGCGGAGTGGGTTCTGGGAAGGAGACGGACAGGAGCCTCCGGGACTCCCCTCTGGGGGGGGTGTGCATGGGGGTGAGGGCGGGAAACGGGGCTTCAGCCGGACGTGTGGGTGGGTGCCCGGGGGAGGGCACTGGCCCAGTGAGGGTTAACCATCGCTGTGCTCTGAGTTCGTTCTGAGCGTCTGGCTGATGTCTGGTTAATGGAGGCCGTTTGCATCCAGGGCGCCCAGGTGGGTTTGCGGTTCTGGGTGTGTGAGCCGGTTTATTCTTTTTTTTCTTTTTCTTTTTCTTTTTCTTTTTTTTTTTTAAATATATTTTATTGATTTTTACAGAGAGGAAGAGAGAGGGATAGAGAGTTCGAAACATCGATGAGAGAGAATCATCAATCAGCTGCCTCTTGCACAGCCCCAACTGGGGATGTGCCCGCAACCCAGGTACATGCCCTGGACCAGAATCGAACCCGGGACCCTTCAGTCCGCAGGCCGACGCTCTATCCACTGAGCCACACCGGTCTCGGCGGGTTTATTCTTTATTATTATTGTTACCTTAATAATCACGGTTTTAAATCTTATCGCTGAGACTATCACGATGGCCTCCTGTCTCCCTGCCCCTCACCCTGGTTCCGGCCCACCCAGGCCCTCACCCCTCCTCCGTGTCCACAGACGGGATCTTCAGTTAACCTCTCCCCCCTCCCCCACCGTCGGAATCCGATTTCGGTTAATTATCGTTTTATTTCCCACGTGGACCTCCTTCCGCCCGCCCTGTGTTTATTTATGTGAGAGATCGGAGCAGTATATCGCTGGTAAGTCTAAAAATAGCGGCTTCGGGACCGAGGCTGCCGTGCTGGGAAGCGAACCCAGTGATGGAGCAGCTGGCGAGCGTACGCCGTGGGGGAGCCTCCGGCGCGGGGTGGGTGTCTGACGGGGTGAGCCGGGGTTCGGGCCTCGGTGCCAGCCCTGGCGCCTCGCCGGTCCGCAGGGCTGCTTTGGAAGACAAACGCAGCCCTGGCTGGTGTGGCTCAGTGGATAGGGCGTCGGCCTGTGGACCAGCGGGTCTCGGGCTCGATTCCAGCCAAGGGCACAGACCTCGAGTGCGTCGGCTCTCAGAGCCTGAGCTGGGCCCCGGGCCTCGGGGTCCGGGGAGTGTGTGGAGCGGGGTGAGGGGGATGGAGGCGGCCGGCCTGGGCCACGGACCTGGTGTGTGGACACACTTGCTATGTGGCAGCTTATGTCCTGGATTTTTTAGGGCCGTGCCATTAAAGATGGAGCTCTTCCCGCAAAGGCGGTTCATTTAACTGTAAGTTTGTTAGAATCTGCATATAGTGCACACAGATCAGAAGAAATGATCAAGTTAAAACTCCTCATCACAATCCTTATTTATTTTTATTAAAAAAATATATATATTAATATTTTATTGACTTTCACAGAGAGGAAGGGAGAGGGATAGAGAGTTCGAAACATCGATGAGAGAGAAACATCCATCAGCTGCCTCTTGCACACCCCCCACTGGGGATGTGCCCACAACCAAGGTCCATGCCCTTGACCAGAATCGAACCCAGGACCCTTCAGTCCTCAGGCTGACGTTCTATCCACTGAGCCACACCGGTCTCGGCCTCATCACAATTTTTAGTTGGAAGTATGTGTGTCTTTGTTAATCCTCACGCGATGATACTTTCCCATTGATGTTCAGAGAGAGCGGAAGGGAGGGGGAGACGCAGAAACACGGAGAGAGACACATGGCTAGCGGCTCCCGCACGCTTCATCGAGCTGGGATGGAGCCCGCTCCCAGCTTCGTGCCCCTGACCGGGACTGAGCCGGGCCTCAGCCACGCCCGATGCTCCATCCACCGAGGACACTGGCTGCTGAAATGCTTTTCCTTGTGTTTAAGGACGTTCTAACAGCCCGAGGACGGCTGTTCGCCCCGGCCGGGGCCCCCTCGGAGACAGCGCGCTGCCCCGAGGCCTGAGGGGCGGCTGGGGCTGGGGCGGCAGGCTCCGCGGCTGCCGGGGGGTGGGTGGCCGGGGCTGGGGGCGGCCAGGCTCCGCGGCTGCCGGGGGGTGGGTGGCCGGGGCTGGGGGCGGCCGGGGCTGGGGGCGGCAGGCTCCGCGGCTGCCGGGGGGTGGGTGGCCGGGGCTGGGGGCGGCCGGGGCTGGGGGCGGCAGGCTCCGCGGCTGCCGGGGGGTGGGTGGCCGGGGCTGGGGGCGGCCGGGGCTGGGGCGGCCAGGCTCCGCGGCTGCCGGGGGGTGGGTGGCCGGGGCTGGGGGTGGCAGGCTCCGCGGCTGCGGCCGGTCCGTCGGGGCCAGCTGCCCCCGGAGTCACCCCCGCGGGGGGGGGGGCGGCCGGGCACAGGCACTTCCTCGGGTTCAGGCGGGAGCTTCCAGTTGCTCCATTCTGTGCTTCCCTGTCTGAGCCCCTGGGCACGCCCACTCCGCCCCTGTGAGCAGCCGGTCTGAAGGAAAGTTACAGCACACCCCCCCCACGCACACATACAACACACACACACACACACCACACATAAACACACACACACACCACACGCACACATACAACACACACACACACCACACGCACACATACAACACACACACACACCACACACACATACAACACACACACCACACACACACAACACACACACAACACACACAACACACGCACACATACACCACACACACAACACACATAAACACACAACACAGCAGCACAACATGCACAAACACACAACACAGCACACACAACAACACACACAACACAGAGAAACACACAACACAAACAAACACACAACAGTTACACGCACAACACACACCACACACATACAACACACACCACACATA